GTGGAATGAACTGCCTACATTGATTGTTTCATTGTGAACTCCGCCATTCACTCATATACCGCCAGACTCATTATATTGTTTTTAAAATTGAAAATTAATGATAAACATAAAGACAAAATGCTTACTTACTGTGTTTGTTAACGATGAAAAGAGTTGTTAATGGGGTGGGTGACTTTGCATTTGCTGCACTAAGTCTGCAATGTCTGGTTGGATGGATGACCTAGGAATACAAAGGGTGTTTAACAGGTGTACATCAGTAATAGAGGACCTTACTTTGTTCTTAGTTTACTAATTTTTTAAAAAATCTGTTTACACAAGTACACTGACAAAATTTTTTGTGCGTGAGCAGAAAGTTGTAAAATCTGCCCCTTTGGGTGTGGGGCCGCAGAGAGGGTTCATGGTAATTTCAGAGATGGGCCGCATTGAAAGGCTTCGAGAGCCGCATGTGATCCTTGGGCCGCAGTTTGCACAGCCCTGAGTCTTACACCATAAGAACATAAGAATGGAAGAAACTGCAGTGGGCCTATTGGTCCATACTAGGCAGCCCCGTGTACACCCAACTCCTATCACTAAAATAATCTGTCCAACCTATATTTCAGGTTACCCAGCGTACGAGTTAATGATGATGTTCGGTAACTTGTTCCACTCATCCACCACTCTATTTCCAAACCAATGTTTACCTATCTCACGCCTTAATTAAAATTCATCTAATTTAGAACCATTGCTACGAGTTTGCTCTTGGTTGGATGGTTTGAGTACCTCTGTTATATCACTTTGTTTAACCCTGACTTCCATTTATACACCTCGATCATATCGCTCCTCACTAATATGTCAAGGGCTCGAACCTCGGCCTGAACACACGTGAGAAGGGTGTTATCCAGTGTGACCCTACCAAACATGACAGGTTTCCCGGTCCCCGGTTTCCTCCTGTACCAGCACTGGATAGACCGTCCAAACGGCTAGTAAGTTGATAAGTGGCGAAGATAATAAAAAAAAAAATACGGTGACCAAAACTGAAGCGCATAATCCAAGTGAGGTCTCACAAGCGTTTTAGGATAACCTCGCTAGTCTTGTAACTAACACTCCTTTGCATGAACCCAAGTACTTTGTTAGCTTTGAATCGAGCAAATACGCATTGTTGTCTTGGTTTAAGATTCATACTTATCATTACCCCTAAATCTTTTTCACATTTGGATTCCTCTATATCAACGTTGTTCATCTGATATCTGGTTTGTCTATTTACATCTCCAAGGCTAAGTACCAAGATTTGTTCTAATTATTTCAAGACAACGGAATGTTGTATCAAAACACTGATGTTATTGTTGCGGTCTCACAATCCTCCACTACGTCGTTGGAGCCCAGTATGTGTAACTGAAAATTTGGCTCGGTATCTTCCTCTTCTTTGTCCACAGCCCAGTGGCTCAGTGGCCGAATAGTTGTGTATCGACTCGGGAGGTTGGACGAAGTAATAAAAAATAATAATAATACAAAAGTTTACTCAAGGTCAAAGATCATTGCAAGTTTGTCTGTACTGGCCAACACCCTCTAACGCCCTGTAACACCTAACACCAGTTATCACAAACACCCGCTGACGCCGTCTAACACCCGCTAACACTCTTTAACACGCTATCCTTATTTATGAACAGGTTATAGAGAATAGTCATTCTCCTCGGTCTGTATCACCTTGTGGTCGCTGAAGGAGTGAGGACTTAAGGGGCTTGGATCAACCATGAGGCAATTTCACCTGCTACCTTCTATACAGTGACGTCCATAATAGATAAGATAAAGTTGTCATCGTCTTCATGGTGGTGGTTCATGACCATTTGTGGTATAAACTTGATGATTCTGTGTTAGAAGTGTGTTGTTTACGCCATCAGGTAGACAGGCACTTCATATAAAAGCAGAAGGGCAGTGTGTAACTTTACCTAGAGTGATTCAGAGACTTCGTTAGTTTGTAACATATGATCAGGTATATAAGACAGTATTAATGTTGTTGTGTGCAGTGATTAATATTATTAATTGAAGACCTTTACTTTTATAAACATTATTGCTGTCTACTTTTCTACCTCTTAAATAATAGTTTTATTGTCTTATCAAGTTTTAACTAGTGTGTACATTTAAGAAGTTTAAATATTTTGTACAGTTTGTTATATATGTGTTAGCTGGACTGTATGGGTGTAATATGCTGTAAATGAATTAATCTATAAGTTATTTACTTATCAAATAAAATTTTATAAATTTAGCTGTATTTTCTGAGCATTACCTGTCCTCCACTTGTGTTGACTTATAAGCAATTAACTTAGCTCTGCTCACCTGTGTTTACATAGTAAACAAGTAAGTTACCATTTGGCTGTTGTGATGAACAAGCTGGGGCATACTGTAATTATATCCAAGATGTTGGTCAGTGGAAAGGAAAAAGTTAATAATATTATCCACCTCCGTACAGTATATTCACTATGAAGTTATGCCTGCTAGATGCCATTGTCAGTAAGAGAAAGTATTAGCCTCACGACAATGCTCTGCAGTGACGGATCTAGACATTTACAAGGGGAGGTGCGGCCTACTAATGGGATGCCAAAGAAAATTCAGATTATGCTGTTTTACCTTAAATTTAAACCAAACTATAATAAAGTGGAAAATATTTTGTAGAAATCCACATAATAATCTTAAATTGAAAATAAAACCTCGTAGTAACTTGCCCCGCGGAACCTGAAGCATCTACGGACATTCGGATATTGGGTTTATGTGAATTCAATGTGAAATAAGCTTGTTGTCAGTGGTCAATCACGGATTTCTTACAATAATTTGTATAATACACGATTCACATGTATAAAAGCAGAAACCCTGTGGTGGATCTCAATTCCACGGAGTCGTCGCCTAACTGTGGCCACCACATTGGTGAAAGGATGGTCGCGAATGTCTGCCACAATCCTCGAGTCGTCTGCTGCTCTAGTCAATCTAGACTTTAGAGTCTAGACTCTAGACCATCTTGATCTGGGAAGATCTTTTAAATTAACAGACTCTTCAAATCATTATAACCAACACCGCATTGTCGATCTCGAGACTCCCATCTGCCTTGCGATCTCGCTGGATCTTAACCCAGCGTTACGCATGTCGACGAATTGCCCTCTCTGGGAGATATCATGGTGTTATCTCCCATGGTTGTAGTTGGTGGAATGACCAAACAATTGCTGTATGACCACGTCATAACCTCGGATAAGTTAAATGTTGTGGTGAATAGCATTAATTATCAGGCTGATGGTATTCAACTTTAATTTTGTCACGTTCTTGTGACCATGCTGCCCTCAGGCTGATGGTATTCAACTTTAATTTTGTCACGTTCATGTGACCATGCTGCCCTCAGGCTGATGGTATTCAACTTTAATTTTTTGTCACGTTCTTGTGACCATGCTGCCCTCAGGCTGATGGTATTCAACTTTAATTTTGTCACGTTCTTGTGACTATGTTGCCCTCAGGCTGATGGTATTCAACTTTAATTTTGTCACGTTCTTGTGACCATGCTGCCCTCAGGCTGGTGGTACTTATCAGCTCCTTAGGACATCTCGGTCCTTTGACGTTCGGACATCACCATCTTTATGTGTGGATACCCAATTCATTCTCCTGGCCGACTCCTTCAACCCTTTCCATTGCTCCCTCCAACAAGCATAATTTTGTCACAGGTCGCAACATTGTGGACGTCGTCGTCTTAACCACTGCCTGTCGGACAAGTCCATCCTCGATTCCTCGCCAGCCTTGACTTCCATCACTCGACCAAGGTGCCATTTGTTGCGTGGACTATTTGCTTCTGCTATAATGATTAGGTCACCAGGGCGAAAGTTGCGCCGTGGTCTGAAATGCACTTGTCGAGTTCTGAGTTGAGGGAGGTACTCCATCAGCCAGCACTTCCAAAATTGATCTGCAAGGTACTGGACATGCTTCCACCTTCTGTGGTAAGATTCGCCTATTGACCTTCCACCTAAGGGAAGATTACCCTTTTGACTTAAGTGCAAAAGATCAGCAGGAGTGAGAGCCTTTGGTTCATTTGGAGTGTTTGGAAACGGGGTGATTGGCCTCTCATTAACTATGGCTTCCACTTCACAGAACAGTGTTTGCAGACGTTCATCGTCTAAAATTTGTGAGCCCACAATCGCCTGCAGAACCTTCTTTACTGTGCGAATCTGCCTTTCCCATACTCCACCCATGTATGGGGCAGCTGGTGGATTGAAGACCCAGTCAATATCTGCTTTCAGTAAGGCACCTCTGAGTCTGTCATCTTGCTCCCAACTTTTCACAGCCAGTTTGAGCTCTTTGGCTGCCCGTACCATGTTTGTCCCATTATCCGACCTAATACGCTCTGGTGTACCTGTGCGTCGTGAGAACCTTGTTATTGCGTTGAGGAAGGCATCTGCGTCTAATGAGGCCAAGACTTCTAGATGAACAGCCCTAATAGTTAGACATGTAAACAGACATCGCCAGCGCTTGACCTGTTTCCTCTAGGAGGAATCCTCCCTACCTTGATAATGAATTGACCAAAACAGTCCGTTCCAGTGTAAGCAAATGGAGCCTTTCCAGGAGTGACACGATCTATTGGTAAGTCAGCTTGCCTTTGATGCCGACTTCTCCAGTTGTTCCGTCGGCACACTACACAGCGTCGTATGATTCTATCAAGCAAGCGTCTGCCCTGGGGAATCCAATACCTTTGCCTCACACGCGCCATCGTGTGTTCTCGTCCGGCATGTCCGGCTCTCTCTTCGTGCATCTCCCGCACTATGATTTCGGTGATGTGGTGGTCTCTAGGCAGCAAGATTGGCTCCTCACCACTTCGCCCAAGAAGGGTTTCTTTAATTCTTCCCTTTGATCTGAGCAACGTTCGCTCGTCCAAGTAAGGTTCCAGTTTATAAAGCTTATTGTCCTTCGGCAGCTCACCCTTTATGACAGTTTGGATTTCTTTCTCATAAGCCTAACTTTCTGCACCAATCTTATAATTGTCTGCTCAACGACTAGCGGTTTCTCAGGTAGCCGGCAGCACTGCTGATTTTGAAGCGCAGGTCTGCGATCCGCCTTGGATCCAAGCCTGCGATAGATCTTTTAATCACGTGCCACCGCACCACCGGCACCGCAGTGGTACACGACCTGATTTGGCGAGGACTACTTTGACTTTACTTTCGCTTCACTGTGAGCAACTACAAGAGTCTCTGGTGTACTTCTCGTTTACCTCAATAAGTCGTTCCAGAACTGCTGGCGATTTCCTTTCCACGCAACCACCGTTCTTTAACACTGAGTGAGAAAGTCAGGACCTCATATCACCCGGATCCACCTGGCAGGTCAGGACAGGTAATCCCTAGTTGCATCATCTGCTGGGTTCAGCGATATTATGGCCGCCATCTCACTGGTCAGTTCTTGACAATCGCTGACTGCTATCACGGCGGCTTTGAAGCGATTTGAAATCGTCTGCTCAGATTGGCAGCGATGTGCTGGACAGCATGCTATCCGTCAAAAATAAAAGATTCGTCATGGTCATTTTCTCAGCGAATCGTTCGATCGCGTTCACTTTCTTAGGACAACTGCACAGAGTTCCAGCGGTATTGTCGGTTATACCGGTTGGGATATTGGCCCGTCGGTACACGAAAGTACTGGATCCGCTACATGGAATCACCATTCTCAGATAGATTACGCATAGCCACTGCATTCATCACAGAAAGGTGTTGGCCTTGCTGGGGAATGAATTTCTTTGCGCCTTTCTTTTTAGGCATCTGAATTTATAATTTCCCTAGGTGGGCCAGTTCTCCTAGCCAGGTGCTCCAGGTCGTGTGATTAACAGCCGACAAAGGTTCGTCCCACCCTAATCGACGAATGCATTCACACTGAAATAATCTTTTAGCCCTGATGATGAATGGGGCCACGAACCCCAGTGGGTCATAAATAGAACTGACCAGGCTTAGTACTCCTCTCCTGGTCGCTGGCCTTGAGTTTGGTTGCACCTTGATGGCGAGCTGATCACCTTCCAGGAGCTACCTAACCCCCAGGGCTCGCTCCATTGGCAATTTGTCTTGGCTCAGATCAATTTCCTTCAGTGCATTTTGCCTCTCCTCCGGTGGGATGGTAACCAACACTCCTTTGTGATTACTGGCCCACTTAGTTAACCGAAATCCTCCACACGCCAACAGTCTTCGAAGCTGACACGCTAACATTGATGCTTCATTTGATGAGTCCAGCGACATGAGCAGGTAGTCAACGTAGAAGTTGACTTCCGCTTGCGCCACCATGTCGGGAAACTCGGATCTGTGGTCTTGGAATGTGCGCCGGAGAGAGTAGGTTGCACATGAAGGGCTCCACACCCCACCAAAGATGTGCACCTTCATCCTGTAAGTTACTGGCTCACTACTCAGGCCCCCATTCTCCCACCAGAGAAATCTTAACGCATCTCGATGTTCTGGCGCTACATGGATTTGATGGTACATAACCTCCACATCTGCCATGATGTTCCTTGGCGAAACCTACAGGACTCCAAGTAATTTGTTGTTGAAGTCTGGACCTTGTAGTACCTGGTCGTTCAGCGATGTCCTTTTGTGTTTGGTTGCACAGTCAAAAACTATGCGTACTTTGTTTGGCTTATTTGGGTTCAACACCGGGTGATGAGGCAGATACCAGACCAGTCCAGTATCTGACTCCAAATGGCACTTAGGCACTGATTCAGCATATCCTTCAGCAAGCAGTTTATTTATTTCCTATACGTATCCTTGTCGCAGCCGTGCGTCCTTGGATAGTCTCCTTCGAAGCCCATCTAGTCGACAATCCGCCACGGCCTTGCTGTTTGGGAGTTCCGTGTTCTCATTACGGAATGGTATGGGAAATTGGTAATGACCATTAGTTTTGATGCCTGTCTCTGACCATAGCCTCAACACTCTTTTGTCCTCAAGTGAATGAGCTGCTGACTGCAAGGCTCCTGTGTCCCCACTTTCCAGCTCCCCAAAAAAGCTTAACTTGTCTTTCCAGACGGGTTTCAAGACTCACGACAGTTTCGGTCATCAGGCATCCTGACATGCAAACTACTTGTGCGTCTTGGTGCCCCACCGGTCCATTTACTGTGCAACCCAGTCGCGTTTTTATGGCGAATGGCATTCCATCCCTTCCTGCTCTGACCTCCAAGGGTACCAGGGCCTGTGGCACATCTTGTCCTATCAGAATTTCTATGCTGTTGCTCTGCAATTCTGGTAATTCCACACCTCGCAGATGGGTCCACCTTGAGATATCACTTGTGTTCGCTACGGAGTTGTGCAGCGTTGTGGGGAAATTTTGTATAATGAGTACTTTCGGGATAAGTATGGTTCTGCCTCGTTTCATGCCTGCGCCAACCACTTCTAGATCTACCTCCGCTGACTCGAGTATCATCTCTTGGGCAAGTGTACCCATGGTTACCAGGGTAGGTGTCCCTTTCACCCTTAGTTTCTGTGCCAGATCTTTGGTGCAATACGACCTGTCGCTACCTGAGTCCAAGAGAGCTAAAGTTCTGCTGTGATTTCGTTGGTGTGAGTCCTTTCCCCGAATCTTCACACTCACTATGGGCAGTACAATCTTGGCATTTTTCGTCAATAGTCAGATGTCGCTTTCGCAGCTGTATGGGTTTTCATGGCCGTCCTTTGTCCCTGTAGCGTAGACATGGCCTATTTTTCCGGCCATGTACGAACTGTCGTTGGCTTTCTGGGCCATGCCACCATCAGAGGTGCCTGCCATTGACTCCTGTTTCACGAGACATTGAAAATTTCGCTTTACGCCACCCTTGCGTGTGTTTGACATACTTGCAGTAAGTGCCTCCCTTCGTTTTTGATGCAACAGTCTAGAATGCTTCTCTTTGCACCCATCAGTACCACACCTGAAGCGTGACCAACACTCAGAAACAAGGTGGCCCACTCTCAGACACAAGAAACAGCAACATAATCTTTTTACCCTCTCTAACCTCTCCCTCACTGACATAAGAACATAAGAACATAAGAAAATAAGGAGTCTGCAATAGGCCGGTTGGCCTGTGCATGGCAGCTCCTGTCGAGAGTTACTACCTCTCTCTATCATCCATGAATCTATCTAGCCTCCTTTAGAAACTTTCCAGAGTTCCCACACTTACTACAAAGTTGCTAAGCTTGTTCCACTCGTCCATCACCCTATTTGTGAACCAGTTTCTTCCTATCTCCCTCCTAAACCTAAACTTATCCAACTTGAATCCGTTGCTCCGAGTCCTATCCTGCTCGGATATTATAAGAACTTTATCTATATCCCCTTTATTGATTCCTTTCACCCACTTAAATACTTCTATCATATCTCCCCGCACTCTTCGTCTTTCTAGGGAATGCAAGTTAAGTTTCTTTAACCTATCCTGATATGGACGGTTTCTAAGTCCCGGAATCATTTTTGTCATTCTTCGCTGCACCGACTCTAGTGAATTTATATCCATTCTAGAATAGGGGCACCATAACTGAACCGCATAATCGAGGTGCGGCCTAACTATCGCAAGATATAGTTGCAATAAGACCTCTGCACTCTTGTTGCTTACACTTCTAGATATAAAACCCAATACTCTGTTTGCCTTATTTCGAACATTAACGCACTGATTTCTAGGCCGTAGGTCCAGGCATACAAGTACCCCTAGGTCTCTTTCACATGTCGACTTCTCTAGGTTGATGTTGTTAAGGCTGTATACATTATAAGTATTTGTTCTTCCAATATTAAGTACGCTGCACTTGCTGGTGTTGAATTTCATTTGCCATTTTTCAGACCACCCCTGCAGTTTATTTAGATCCTCCTGTAATGCATTTACATCCTGCCCTGAATTAATTTGTTGCTCCTATTTTGGTGTCATCCGCAACTTGCTTTTGGCGTCACTGCTGATCCTAGCATTCCAAATCGTTTATGTAGATTATGAAACAAGAGTGGGCCTAGTACTGACCCCTGGGGAACCCCACTGGCTACAAGGCCCACTCAGATTTAACACCATCTACGCCTGACCCTCTCTGCCTCTATCGGTGAGCCATGATTTTATCCAATTTAAAACTTTCTATACCATGAGCCTTATTCTTTCTCAGAAGCCTTCTGATGCGTAGTACTCTGTCAAATGCTTTGCTAAAGACCAAGTATATAACATCGTACTTTCAATATTCATTACCTCGAAGACTTTCCTAAAAAACGTTAGCAGATTTGTTAGACAAGATTTTCCCTTTGTAAACCCATGTTGAGAGTCGGAGATTAATTTGCTTTTCTCTAGATGCGATCGCATGCTATCTGCTATAATTGATTCAAGAAATTTCCCCACTACTGACGTCAAACTGATCGGCCGGTAATTTGACGCTGATGCTCTGTCTCCCTTTTTGAATATGGGTACTACATTTGCCTGTTTCCACAACTCTGGCACAACTCCAGTGTCTAATGATTTTGTAAATAAGTTTACGAGGGGTCCGCTAATCTGTTCCCTACACTCTTTTAAGACTCGAGGAAAAATTTCATCCGGCCCTGGGGATTTTGTATTCTTTAGTTTATTTATCTTCTTAAGAACATCCTGTTACGAGTTGGGGATTTACAATTTAGTTAAAAGTCTACCCAGATCCCAACAGGCAACAAAAAAAAAAAACAAAGACAATCGGACTATAAAAGGGTAGACAAAGGATGCGAGTTTTTGTTGTGTATAATAAAGTACCATAAATTCCTTAGCACAATATTCAGCTATCTATAATTTACCCTTCACCATACTTACCCTAAACATTAACAGTATATACATATTTATACAACATACAATAATTTGAAGCAAGGTGGAGGTGGGAGGTAACATAAGATCACAAATACATAAGTGCGGAGCTGAGATGGCTGACGAGTAAGGCTGAGTATTGTAGAAGACGGTAGGTAGTCACTGTTCCGTAGGTTTCCAGGATAAGTGATCCTGTGGTCACTTCCCAGAGTGAACTGCTCTCTCCTCAAACTGGAGCTGACAAAGAAGACTTTGAGGAGGTGACGCAATAACCAGGATATGGAGAAGGGAAACCCGGGAGTGGTAACTAAGACGAGTCATACTCGTGTTTCGTCCCTAGATGGCGTTGCTCGTGGTGCTGGGTAGGTAGATCAGGACAATAGATGGCGTGGTTCGTAGTGCTGGGTAGGTAGATCATGACAATTGGTGGCGGGGTTCGTAACACACCCCCCCTCCAAAGACCTCCGTAGCGCGGGCGCGAAGGAGGTGATCACCTGGTGCGTCTGGAGAGTAGCTGCTGCATTTCCACTGGAGCTCGGGATAAGGAGTCCGCAATCAGGTTGTCCACCCCCTTTATGTGCCGGACTTGTAGATTATAGGGTTGGGTGAGGAGAGCCCAGCGGAGGATTCACTGGTTGGAGGTCTTGTTGGTTTGGATGAACGTGAGTGGGTTATGGTCGGTGAAGACTAGGGTTGTTTGTGGGCAAGACTGGAGGTAACATTCAAACTTCTTTATTGCCAACACCAGAGCCAGGGCCTCCTTCTCTATGGTCGAGTAGTTGGTCTGATGTTTTTTCAACTTGGCGGAGTAGTATGCCACAGGGTGAAGGACATCAGTGGTTGGGTCGGGTTGTAGGAGCACAGCCCCCACTCCGACACCGCTAGCGTCGATTTGCAGATGGAAGGGCAAGGTGTAGTCAGGGGGGTGGACTACAGGCTTGGAGGCAAGGAAGGCTTTGAGGCGGTGGAAAGACTGGTCGCACCTCTGGTTCCAGATGTAAGGGACCGCAGAACTGGTAAGGTCTGTGAGGGGTCCGGCCACGCTGGAGAAGTTACTGCAGAACCGACGGTAGTAGCCGCACATTCCCAGGAAGCGCATGAGTTCCTTCCTCGTCCTTGGAGTGTGAAAGGACAAGATGGCTTTAACGTTTGCGTCCTTGGGTCTCACCATACCATGCCCGACGATATGTCCCAGGTAAGTCACCGAGGCCCGGCCAAAAGCAGATTTAGCCAGGTTCATGGTGAATCCAGTCTCTTGCAATCGTGCGAACAGTATCTCCAAACGCACCAGATGTTCGTCGCAGCCGTCCGACACCACCACCAGGTCATCCAGGTAGGCGAACGTCCCACCTAGGTCCTGAATTAGGTAGTTGATGGCCCTCTGGAATGTGGCCGGAGCATTAGAAAAGCCAAACGCCATAACCAAATATTGAAAAAGACGAAATGGAGTTATAAATGCTGAGATTATTTTTGCCCTGTCAGTGAGTCCCACTTGATAATATCCTTTCAACAGGTCCACGGTAGATATAAATTTGGCACAGCCTATGCTGTCTCTTATATCTTCAATCAAAGGAAAAGGGTAGGAGTCTGAGACAGTGACCTGGTTCACTTTACGATAATCGGTACAGAAACGAAAGGTGCTATCGGGTTTTGGAATGAGAAGGCAAGGTGAAGCCCAGGGGGAGGTACTAGGCTCAGCTAAGTTATGTTGTAACAAAAAATCTACCTCCTTTTTCAAAATCTCTCTTTTTTGTGGATTTAGTCGATATGCTGATTGCCTAATGGGTTGTACATCATCTGAGATTAGCTTAATATCATGTTTAAGTATAGTGCAAAACCCTGGGAGGTCTGACGTGACTTTAGGAAATGTTGATAATAACTTAGTGAGATCTTTTGCTTGAGATGGATTCAGAACAGAAAAATACTCATCCAAGTTGTTGAGTATGTGACTGTTAGCAGGGTTTTCTTTAGGTAGAGGGCAGTCTAAATTCTCCAATAGATCCATGTCATCTTTCTCCGGCTCCGGCCCTGACAAAACCGTATGCAATACAGGTAGGCTTATAGCCTCTGGGATGTCTTCCTCTGACTGCCTGGAATGGTAAAGTTTCATGAGATTATTGTGAACAAGTTGTGAATCTTTTCTGCGATCAGGAGTATGGACTATATAGTAGAGGGGAGATAGTTTATTAGCATTGATTTGAAAGTTTTGATGGAACCGTTCCAAGTAACCTTGGGAGTGTGGGTGGTAAGCCGAAGATGTACAATGGTCCACACTGAGGTCTTTCATCACCTGTTTGAACAAAGATGGATCAGATTGATGGGCTTTAATGAGCTCATCCTTACTAATGGTCTTATTGTACAGATCTTCTGTGGGTAGGAAGATATTGGAGGTGGTTTTTGATGAAGAGGGCCCATTTCGCACACTCTGTGACCGGGTGACAGCACAAGATGGGAAAAGGTGAGGAATAGTTTCTTCAAGGTCAGTGGTGGAGTTGACAGGTAAGGGAGAGTCGACTGTCTTTATGTTGGGAACCACTAGATCTCCTACCAAGTTATTACCCAATAATAAATGAATGCCGCTCAAAGGCATTGGATCTTTCCTAATGGCTATTTGCACTTCCCCAGTAATCAAGGGACATTGGAGGTGCACTTTAGCTAAGGGATAGGAAGAATGGGATGAGAGATCTGAAATTAGAACACTCATTAATAAATGCGGTAGATATATCAGGAATGACGTTAAACAGGAGGATAGATTGTGCTGCGCCCGTATCACGTAGTATACGAATAGGGAAAGAACGAGACCCCTCTATGATTGAAATTTTTCCCTCATAGGTGAATGAAGAGAAGAGATCCTGATGGGGCCTTTCCACATTGGTGTTTGCTATTGGTTTGGATTTGGGATCCAGAGAACTACTTTTAGCAATTCGATACTTTGGGTGTTTACAAGTCTGGATCGTATGGCCTGGGTTTTTACAGTAAGAACAATAAAACTTGGTTGCATTAGGGGGGGTAGGTGTTGGACCTTTCGACCTACCACTCACGTCCCCAAGGTTATCATCAGAGGAGGACCTAACATGCCGGAAAGTACCACGTTCCCTACGGTACAGTGACTCCACCAGCATGGCGTACGCATCAGCCAGCTCAGCCGCACGTCATAAATTAACCTCTCCACACTCCTCCACATGCTTCAAGATGTGAAATGATATCTTGCTCTTCCACTCCTCCAGGACTACCAAGTTATAAAAATTCTGAGGTGGCCATTGTTAAGAAAACCTAGATAAATTAATTAATGGTCAAAAAGATAAAATAAGTGGATTACCCTAGAAAATATCACGGCAGTGGATAACCAGAAAGTCCAGGAAACTAACCAAGTTATACCTAGGGATATTACACTTATGAATATTGTCCTTCTGAGAAGATCCTTAGATAAGGATAAGAGACTTGAAAGAGGAAGGGCGTATTATGGCATTAATATAAAGATCCGGATTAACAACCCTAAGATACTTGAAACAGGAAGGGCGTATTACGGCATTTATATAAAGATCCGGATTAACAACCCTTAGATACTTGAAACAGGAAGGGTGTATTACGGCATTTATATATATAGATCCGGATTAACAACCCTTGAGTAAACAGGAAGGGCGTATTACGGCATTAATATAAAGATCCGGATTAACAACCCTTAGATACTTGAAACAGGAAGGGCGTATTACGGCATTTATATAAGGATCCGGATTAACAACCCTTGAGTAAACAGGAAGGGCGTATTACGGCATTAATATAAAGATCCGGATCAACAACCCTTGAGTTACTTTATTATTGACCCCAAATGAGGTAATGAGAAGAACAATAATTGAGGCTTTATAATTATGGGGTCCTGGTAGAGCGGGGCGTCCCAAGATATCACTTCACCCTAAACTAGTGACTATGGAACAGCCTACTCTGGAGTGAGGGTACGGCATTAAACAGATCCGGATTCTTCCCTACACTCGATAAGACTTACTACACGACTGCCACGTGTAATAACAGGTAAGCCTTATGACACTTGGAACCTAATATCCTACGTCTGTCACTCTTACTGTACGGTAATACCAATATATGCACACACATATGAAGGTAACTTTAAACCACCGTAAAGCAATTGTTAACAGAAGTGACTGGGAGGAATAATTAACACTGAGTAACAAGGGGGGAAGGAATATGGCACTTAAGGTCGTGTCCTGTCACGGTCGCCATTTGTTACGAGTTGGGGATTTACAATATAGTTAAAAGTCTACCCAGATCCCAACAGGCAACAACAAAAAAAAAACAAAGACAATCGGACTATAAAAGGGTAGACAAAGGATGCGAGTTTTTGTTGTGTATAATAAAGTACCATAAATTCCTCAACAAAATATTCAGCTTTCTATAATTTACCCTTAACCATACTTAACCTAAACATTAACAGTATATACATATTTATACAACATACAATAATTTGAAGCAAGGTGGAGGTGGGAGGTAACATAAGATCACAAATACTTAAGTGCGGAGCTGAGATGGCTGACGAGTAAGGCTGAGTATTGTAGAAGACGGTAGGTAGTCACTGTGCCGTAGGTTTCCAGGATAGGTGATCCTGTGGTCACTTCCCAGAGTGAACTGAACTCTCCTCGAACTGGAGCTGACAAAGAAGACTTTGAGGAGGTGACGCAACAACCAGGATATGGAGAAGGGAAACCCGGGAGTGGTAACTAAGACGAGTCATACTCGTGTTTCGTCCCTAGATGGCGTTGCTCGTGGTGCTGGGTAGGTAGATCATGACAATTGGTGGCGGGGTTCGTAACAATCCTCTTTTCTGATAGTGATATGTCGCACCCTGCTAATCCATGTGCTCTGGAACACACTGGGCACGAGCCTTTTCCAGAGCTAGTTTCTCCTCCATTGCCTTTCGCTTCACTGATAGTCACTAGGCCCACGGCACGTTTGCTTGACGATGATCCTTCTGGCCTTTTCTAACTTCCTTCTTGACTGTCCTCGCTTGATAGCAGAGCCATGTCATCCATCGTCACCGCTTTCTCCTCCAAATATAGCGCTAACCACTTCACCAGCCCCGTTCTGTGTCCTGTCGACTTCTGATAATTTCGTACATCATCCACACAGCGTTCCCTCAATTTGGGGGGAAGCTTAATCACCAGCGTTTTGAAGGTCTGCCTTGTTTCAAGTTCAGACATCAAGTTCAGATTCTCCAGATGGCTTACTGCACCCCATAGCTGAGATGCCAGTTTTCGCAGCCCTTCGTCGTCGAACGCCCCCACTGAGCGAGCGTCTATGAGCCTTTTTACCAGCTGGTCCGCATATGCATACTTGTCTCCAAACCTTGCCTCCAGGATCTTGATTGCCTTGTTGTAGGCTCTGTCTGGCTCTAGATAGTCGCATCCCATGATTGCTTGATGTAACTCTTCTCCTTCACAAGCATCCATGAGCAGTTGGTACTTGTACTTCTCTGGCACGGCTACATTTGTCATGTATCGACGGAATGCATGCATAAGGGTCCAAAACTCCGCCCGCCCTTGTCCTTTAAACTTGGGAAGGGTGGCTTGAGACATGCACATCGTAGCCACTAGCTCTCTTATTTCTTCACCCTTCTCTGATTCTCCCTGTGGATGCATAATTGTGACTTGAGGAGCTTTGTTTGCAAGCATGGCGGTAAAGACGATGCCATTTTCTCGACATTGACCGATGCCTGTTGCTGGGTTTCTTCCCGTACTATTGGCTTCTCATAATTGCTGGAGTTCTCTGTCGAAGGCTGTGAGCTGTCACTTCTTCGTGTTAGTGCTAATGTCTCTTGACCCGCCACCATTCCAGTGTGCAGGGCTCGGTTTACTTCATCCGATGCTGCCTCAGCTCTGGCCACTGCTTGTTGATAATACAATTCCCTACTGTGACCTTCCCGTGGATCTCCTGGTATTGCAAGCTCATTTCCTGTTTCACCACTCTCTGATTGTACCTCGGCGGGCGGATCCATTGTCATGAGGTCAAAATGTTTGCTTCCATCTAGGTCCGACTCTCCTTCCATGTCATCAATATACCCAATCTCCGACATCCTGCTTATTCAGGTAATTTGAATTGCGTTCGTTTCCACCACTCTTGAATCAGGGCTCGTTCGTGTGCCTCGTCATACACTCGCACCTGATATCATTACAGACTTTACATTGATATTTGGGTTATTTACAAAGCAATATCACTTCAGTCAATTATGACTGCTTATTGTATTCTGCACTTACGTCAGACAACAATAACGACATGTGTTTTCATTCTCATATGCACTACACTATTTTCTGGACTAACAAGGTTTAACTATTATCGATGCGAGAAGTATACGAACGTTGCACCGCACTTCTCGCCACTGGATACACACACAACCACACCCACACGCACACACTCGTCCCTCGAGTGACGCGTGTTGGTGAGCCAAGCTACACTAAGCGTGGCTGAGCTCACTCTGACAACATTATTTTCTTCAATAACAAAAGGTTCAAGTATTATCGCCACTATAAATCTACGGGCGTTGCACTGTAATCCGTGGCACTGGGAGCACGCGCGCACGCACACACTCACGGCATCCCTCCAGTGGGTTGAGTTGAGTTGACCTTGGTTACTCTGCTGCCTGCTCGTTGGCTCAAGGTAGCACCGCTACACAGTAGACATCCACGTTTGACTGTAACCGCCAGTCAGGCGGTTAAGGATATTTAGACTCTTCACGTAGTACTCAACATTATAATTCGGTCAAACCTGTTGAATACAATTCATTTAGTATTTCAAATAAGTCATACATAGGCACTCCTACATAAATGTTTAATCCAATATATATTTACATAACAATCATGGCTATGTAATTAGTATAATCTTAACACAAAAACAATGAGTACTCAATTTGCCATATTTCTATATTGTCACACTGATCAATGGACACAGTCCACCTGTGTACACAATAAGTACTAGTTAAACTTACGTGTTGAAAGTTTAGAGAGAAGCCAGGGTAGGTGTTGACTCTAAGATATGGGTAGCTATACTGAAATGCCCACCCTATAGCCTGGCCCCCTGGCTGGTCAGCTATGGCTGAGTCAGGTGATTATAATTATACATAAACCCAATAAACATGACATGACTTACAGCCTAACATAATATTTGTTTATGTGTTTGCTGCTTGCCGTAACATCATTAATAACTTCAATAAAAGCAATATGTGGGGGATAATAAACCCACCGCCACCAGTCTCGATTATTAACCTCTCTACTATGAATCTAGTGTTATATATAATATTTGTCCTCCTGGTGTACTGACCACAGTCATACATGCTAGTGAACGTAAAATCAGATGATTCATATCACGCTTTATAACGAATAAAACATGAAGCTATAACATAGTTCTTAGTCCCCCTATTGAGACCTACGTTTTCAGCCCATCCCGAAGATGGGTGACCATTCTAATCCCTCTTAACTATCGCCCCATTGCCCTAACTTCATCCCTCTCTAAGATTTTCGAAACTATATTAAACTCTCATTTTTTCCGTCAACTTGAACGCCATTCTCTTTTGTCGGATCACCAGTATGGCTTTCGCCAGGCGAGATCTACAAGTACTGGTGATCTGCTCTCCTACTGCACCCATCTATGGTCATCCTCTCTTAGGGATTATGGGGAAACTTTCGTCGTGGCCCTCGACATCTCCAAAGCATTTGACAGGGTATAGCACAAGTCTTTGCTTTCTAAACTTCCCTCTTATGGTTTCTCTCCCTCACTTTGTTCTCTAATTTCTAACTTCCTTAAGAACCGATCAATGGCAGTTGTTGCCGAGGGATCGAACTCTCGCTCTTTCTCTACCAATAGTGGTGTCCCACAGGGTTCTGTTCTTTCACCTACTCTCTTCCTTCTATTTATCAATGATTTACTTCACACTACGACTAATTCTATCCATTCTTACGCTGATGATTCTATTTTTCACTCTTTTTCACATTTTCCCTTCCCCCTAATTCTCAAACTAAATCTATTTCTAGAGCTGATATCATTACATCTATCAATGAGGATCTGTGCAGCATCTCCGAATGGGGAGGTAGAAATTTGGTTAAATTCAATATTAATACAACAGTATTTACCAATTACACTTTCCAAATTAGATGATCTCCCACCAATCACATTTCAGGACGTTATCATTCTGCTAAATTCTAAAAGAGATATGCTAGGCCTCACCATTTTCTCTTATATGTCATGGAAGCCACACATCCTCAACATTGCTAAAGCTGCCTCCCGAAAGCTGGGAATGCTGTACAAATGCCGAAGCTGCTTCACTCCTCTGCAGTTGCTTCAAGTATATAAAGGATTCATTCGTCCTAACTTGGAGTACTGCTCTCATATCTGGGGTGGCTCTTCTGTCCAACTGTTAGATAGGGTGGAATCAAAGTCATTTTCGTCTTCTTAACTCTCCTCCTTCAGTTGATAATCTTTCTTCCCTTTCTCTTCGCCACAATGTTGCTTCACTCTCTCTCTTTTACAGGTACTTTAACGGGCAAAGTTCGGTGGATCTGGCATCCTGTGTACCGCCGGCAAGGCCGTGGTTTCGGAACACACGTCTTGTCCGCGGTGCCCACCGTTTCTCTGTGGATGTCGGTCACACTAAAATAACCCGTTATAGTACATCCTTCTTTCCTCACACAGCCAAACTGTAGAATACTCTGCCTTCTTCTGTGTTTCCATACTCAAACAATCTGTCTCACTTCAAAAAGCTGGGTTTCCGGCAACTTCGTGGTGTAGATTAATATAACCGTTTTCTTTTCAAATTTTAACTTCTTTTTACTCTTATTTTTTCGCCCCCTAGGCCGCGTTGTGGGTCGATGACCTGTGCCGGGGTGGGCTAAGATTTCCATTTTCTCTCGTGTGTTTCAGAATCTCTCGTATCCCATGTTTATGTTAGAAAATTTAAAATTACGAATGAATGCATCTGTGTTACTGTAAGTTATATACAGGGTGATTCAGCAGAGTACATTAAATTGGAGGATGAAATCCTTGGATAATTCTAAACCACAATGTCTCTATGGTAAAATGTCAGATTCTCCATAGTTCCCATGTTACAATACATTTAAGATGTTGTATTAATGAAAGTGAATTTAAAGTGAAACCCCCGTAGGTTTTTGTAATAATTTGTTCACAGATTTATACAGTGTGACCCCTCCTTGTTACAACTTAAAGGAAATGTTCAAAGTTGCCCCCTTCTGCCTCAATGAAGGCAGAATACACGTCGTACCATTGATTGTCTGACGCGTTCCAGAATGCCTGGACTATGTTTAATTTGCTCGCACCTGTCACGAACACGTGGGCATATGCAGACTCTGACATCTTACCATAGAGATATTGTGGTTTTAAATTATCCAAGGATTTCATCCTCCAATGTAACCAAACTAATGTACTCTTTGCTGAATCACCCTGTATACCTGCTTACAACTGAAACATTCAAGATCCATTGTGATTGATGTTGAAAGCCTCAATTGTATTTACTTTTAGTGAAATTGTCAAGTAATTCGAGTGTTGAGTTTGCAAGGGAAAGTGAAAAATCCTGACATTGCCCTGTGAGACATGTGAGAGTGCCAATCGTCACTGAAGCCAGACTGTTTAATTCACTCTCATCAAAAAATCTGATATTTGTATTGAAATTATTGTCAGTTTTGTATTTAAGAATGTCAACTGCTCAAAGCCTAAAATTTTAACGGCCGAGCCTCAGAACCACTTCTGTTCCTCACTTGTTGAGTCTGTACAAAGTGCGAATGCCAGCCTAAAAATTTTTTGCACTTTAATGATTGCATAGCAGGCTCGGACACTGATTAAGAAATTAATCTGACCCATAACACTGATTTGCATAGCCCAATGTATACCGCAACTGAGTTAAATGAATATGTACGTAAATTCTTGATGTGACATCCTGGCGTTCTTGAGTTGCCATCATGGCGTATATGACTGTGTGCGAGAGATGAGGAGTCACTTCGCTTGACTCGCTCCTCATCATCTCTCAGGTATGTACCTAGTGCCTCACGCCCGCTATATTAAGTGAATTTAACTCAGTTGAACTTTTTTGAATATATCAGTGTTCATGTTTCAATAGTAGTTGAACATCTTATGTGCCAAAAGATACTCTAACGTAACTGGGTGCCTTCTGTGTTCAATCAGCCATGCATTCCCTCGCCAGATGTACAGTATGTGTGATATTTTGTATTTGAATTTAGACTTCTGTAGTGGACGTCTCCCCTACAACTGCCTACAACTGCGTAGCGGCGTCACCAAGCTGCTACCATCCTCCCTAGCAACCAAGCGAGTGGCGACAACAGATGTTACCGTATCTTAGCAACGGAACCAGGGACCGGCGACTTTCTCGGGTTTTCCCAACATGACTCATAGCAGCTGCTGGGTATATAAGCTCTGTCTCTCCATTGAGATTCATTAACTCGTCTCCGCTAGGTGGACAGCCCACCTGCTATCTACCCCTCCCACTCTTCTTCCCGTTTCCACGCTTTACTTCTCTCTCTCTCTCCTCTCCTTTCCCAGTGCAAAGTCATTTGCCACTTTA